CTCTTTCCCACCTTTTCAAATTCAAGTCAACATGACATATTTTGCTTCAGGCAATAGTACATCACTGATTCTTCTCCCACAACATCCATTCCCTCTCCTTACTAAAAAGTCTCTAAACAAGTTCTGCCTCACTGCCCATTTCTGGTCTCCTCTTTCAATTTTTAATTTACCCATATGCCATCCTTGCTCCTCCTCTCTCTCTCAAACAATCCCCCAGTTTCCTGGAGTTCACTGAAGGCTTGAGCCCATCACCTCTTCTGCTCTATCTGGACTGACTATTCTTCTCTTTGCCATCTTATTACCTAGTGTTGTTTGCTTTTCTCTCACGTTGTAAACTACATTACAGTGCTATTTCCACTTTGAAATCTGTCTTTCTTTGAAATCCAACTGCTGTGCCTTATTTTAGCAGTGATGTGAAAATGCTAAATGTTCTGTTCCAAGGTCTGTGCCAAGGTCTACCCCTTGGCTCCTCATTTACAGCAACCATCAACATCTCCTCTCTACCTCCATCACACCCTCAAGAATCTGTCCGTCCATCATTGCCTTTACTTCCATTTCCTCTAAGAGCTGCCTGAAGCAATGCCTTGAATACTATAACAATGTGCATCAAGGAGCACATATCAATCTAAAGCATCATGTACTCTGGTTCTTGTAATTGATCAGGAATATTACCATAGCTGATGGTCCCTCCTAACACTAAAAAAAAGAAAAAAAACCAAACAACAAAACAAACCCAACTATAAATATACCTGTTTCAGTTAATTCTGACAGCTAGGTTTCTCATATCTTCTCTTAGTTCAGTATTAAATAGTGGCAAACACATGTATGATGCATCCATCACGTACAGGGCACATGATTCACAGCCCTGGTTTACAAGTTCTTTACAAAGAAAAAGTGTATTGTAAATCTTTTAAAAGGAAGGGGAAAAGCAATTTATGTTCTCATGACCTCTTCTGACTTAATTTTCAACAGTCATTCCTGACAGTTCTTCTTATAGTTTTCCAAATTACACAGTTGGAAAGTAAAAACTAGCAAGTGTCGTCTTCTGCAAGTTGGTCTAATTATTCCAAATTCCTTTTTGAGCTACATCCAACAAATCACTTTGAATATATGCTTAACTTGAAGCGTGTGCATAGCCCCAGTGCAATCAGCACAGCTATTCTCATGCTTAGCCTTAAGCATCTCTGAGACTTCACAGAGGACTTGACCAGAACTGGGGCTGGTTTATGTTAGTCTATCTGCTGGCAATAAAATGTTACTTCTCCATACAAATTCAGCCTCACTTTAATAAATTATTTGGTGACTTTTCTAATAGTCAGCAAATAGTAAAATGCAAATAATTTCAAAATAGTTTCTTCTGCAGATTATTTCTTTTCAAGCGAGTTTTTGAGTATGCCTAGTGCAAG